CCGACAGAGACTGGATAAACCCCGAGATTATGGCCCCTGGACACCCTTTTAACTCAGTACTGAAGTCACTCCTGAGGTTCACCCTTCAGCCAAAGATTAGACAGGCCCACAAAACAAAATGAGACTAAAGGGGCACACCAGCCCAAGGGCAAGGACTAGATGGCAGGAGGGGACAGGAAAGTTGCTAATGAGGAACCCAAGGTCGAGAAGGGGAGAGTGTTGACATGTTGTGGGGTTGGCAACCAATGTCACAAAACCATATGTGTATTAATTGCTTAATGAAAAACTAATTTGCTCTGTAAACCTTCATCAAAAATACAATAAAAAAAAAAACTCAGCATGAACCTACTGTGTGATGCAGCTACTGAAATAGTTCATGCAAACTAAGCTTCACTAACAGAGGTAGAGACCATGTCTGGGTCACAGGAGGTAACAGTCTGTGTCAGGATGACACAGCTTAAATATGGGGCTCAGACAGGGGTGTCAGGTTTTAGGAAGGGCATGGATTAATCTGAGGAAATCCGGAAAAGGCTGGATGGTGCAAGGTCTGAAAATCAATTCATAGGAGGAACAGCCAAAAGAATTGGGGATTTTAGGTCTGGAGAAGAGCACATCAAGTTGTAATGTTCATTTTTCTTTAAAGACTTAAAGGGCTGTTACACAGAATAGAAGGAGTCCCCGGTGGTGCAGTGGTTAAAGCACTGTGTGCTAACCGAAAGGTCAGCAGTTCAAACTTACCAGCTGTGCCGCAGGAGAAAGATGTGGCAGTCTGCTTCTGTAAAGATTACAGCCTTGGAGACACGATGGGCAGTTCTACTCTGTCCTATAGGGTTGCTATGAGTCAGAATCAACTCGGCGGCAATAGGTTTTTTGGTTTTTATATAGAATAGATGGAGTCCCTAGGTGGCACAATCAGTTAAGCACTCAGCTACTAACCAAAAGGTTCATGGTTTGAATCCACCCAGAGGTACTTTGGAAAAAAGCTCTGGCAATTTACTTCTGAAAGATCACAGCCACTGAAAACCCTATGGAGCACAGTTCTACTCTGAAACACTTAGGGTCGCCATGAGTCAGAATTGATTCAATGAAACTGGTTATACATAATAGAAAGACGTGTTCAATGTTATTCCAAAAGAAAGTTCCAGCACCAATGCATACAAGTAATTGGAGGCACATGCTGTTTGCCCAGTAATTAGAGCTAATTAACATCATCATAGGACATGATGGGAGATACTAAGCTTTCATCCCTGGAAATATCAGGAAGGGATGATGTAGAAGCGGTAAGGATGTTGAAGCAGGGTAAGGACGCTAACCAAGAGTCCAGCCCAATTCTAAAGCTTCAACATTGAGAAAAATCAGGGTACTTTCATCAGTCTTGAAGGACTAGCTGACTGAAGTGGTTAGGATGTGGTTTATCTGCCTAAGGCAGGAAATGCTCCGAGCTATGAAGGACCCCGCCAGGGTTAATAAAAAGCTGCCTGTCTCCCAACTCAAGACTCCCTATGTACAGGCAGCCCTGGACAAGTGGCTCATTCCCTTCTGCAGCAATTCCAACCCAGCCCTGATAAGCCTGTAGAGCAACAGTGCGGAGCAGCTGAATAGGACACTTCATGCCGCCCCTCTTCTCACTTATGAACTTAACTATCTCCAGCACAGCTCGCTGCTCAGTAAGATGCTTGCTTTCTGGACCATCTGAAGAATGAGTTCATTTTATTGTGACTTTCTTCTTTATACTCCTTTGTATTGTTCAAATTTTCTACCTGGATCTTGAACTAAGAGAAGAAATAAAACTTTAAAAAAGTAATCTGATAAATAAAACCAGACTTACTGGTCTGACAGAGACTGGGGGAACCCCCAAGACTAGGGCCGTTAGACACCCTTCAGACCTGGAAATGAAATCACTCCCAGAGATCACATTAGAGGCATACAATAGACAGGCCTATGAAATGAAGTAACGCCAACGAGGATGTACCCCTCAGAACAATCGATAATACGAGACCTAAAGGGCAGCATTTGCCCAAAAGCAAAGTTCAGAAGGACAGTAGGGGCAGGAAAGCTGGGCGAATGGACACCGGGAACCCAGGGAGGAAGCAGGGAGAGTGCTGACACATTCAGGGGTTTGCAACCAATGTCATGAAACAAGCTGTGCATAAATTGTTGATTGAGAAACTAATTTGCTCTATGAACTTCTACCTAACTTACAATAAAATGTTAGAAAAATAATAATCTGAGTTATCAAAAGAACCAAAACTAAAACCAAACCCACTGTCATCAAGTCAATTCCGACTCATAGCAACCCTACAGAACAGAGTAGAACTGCCCCATAGGGTTTCCAAGGCTGTAAATGGGTACAGAAGCAGACTGCTACATCTTTCTCCTGTGGAGTGGCTGATGGGTTCGACCTTCCGACCTTTTGGTTAGCAGCCGAGTGCTGTGCCACCAGGGCTCCTCCCATTAAAAGAAAGCATGAGCTTTTTTTCTCTTTGAAGTATCTTAGTATTTTGAAGAAGTCAACTAAAACCTGCAAAAATGATGGTAAACTTCAAACCAAGTTATCAGGATCACTGTTTACTCAGAAAAAAAAAAAAAAATTCATAGAGTAAACCATTTTTTTTTTGACAACACATTTTATACTTTCTCCATTTTTATACCTCCTCTGCTAGCTAAAAGATGTTTTGGGAACACAAGTGGGAGGTCATTATGAAACAGTACTTCCCTGAAACATCAGCTTCCATGAGCAATGGCAATGGGGCTTACCTTCATGTCCACTGAGGGGTCACCCTGCAGCAGTGTCCACTCATACTGGACGATGGCGTGGTCATCTGTGCTCTCGCGGCCATCCAGTGTCACCCCCTCTGCGGGCAGATACACAACCACATCCTGCCCCGCCTTGCTAAGTGGAGGCTCATCACTGACTACAAAAGAAAATAAAATATTCATAGAGAGATGATTCTCTATTTTTTTCTAACTTATTAAGAGAGATATTTTGAAATAAAAAGACCATAGACAAACTAAGGAAATACATTTGCATGCGAAAACAGCTAAAAAAAGTAATTATAAAAGGGGCTCCTACAAATGAATGAGAAAAAGATCAACAACCCAACAGGAAGATGGGATGGATATAGAATGAGAGCGTGTAATGTGTTACAATGGAACGATCTAAAACAGAATGCAGACCAGGTGTGTACTACAGGGCCATTTGTGTAAAAAGGTGTGTGTAAGCATAGGATGTCTCTGGAAGGATTCACTAAAACTATAAGCAGTGGTGTTCTCTGGGGACTGAGGGATGGGTAGAAGGGAAATATACCTTCTACTATAAATCATTCATCCTCATTTTAAAATAATGAAAAAAAATTTTTACCTCCAAAAGAATAAATAAAATGTACGCGCAAGTTATGAGATACAGTACAAAATAAACATCTACGAACCAACAACCAAAAAAGAGAGATATCTTGTTTGCTAGAGTAGAATTGCTACCAACCAAATCAAACTCGTTGCCAGCGAGTCAATTCCTACTCATAGCGACCCTATAGGACAGAGTAGAACTGCCCCATAGGGTTTCCACGGAGCGGCGGGTGGATTCGAACTGCTGACTTTTGGTTAGCAGCCAAACACTAACTACTGCACCACCAGAGCACCTAGAACTGCTAAGAGAATGTATATTAACTGAAAGTTATTGTCTCTTTTTTTTTTTTAATTGTACTTTAGGTGAAGGTTTACAGAACAAATAGTTTCTCATTAAACAGTCAGTACACATATTGTTTTATGACATTGGTTAACAACCCCACCACATGTCA